TGTGTGTGTGTGTGTGTGTGTGTGTGTGTGTGTGTGTGTGCATTCTCTATGAGGGAATAGACTCATGATTCCTGGATATGGGCCCACTGGTCACATGAAGTGCTTTTGAAAATGGCAGACAGACCTCCTGGGGGCCCTCTCTGTTTTCCCTTCTCTATCATTGTGAGAACTTTTCCCAGTGATGAAGACAGAACAAGTGTAGTCTGGGTCCTCCATTGCTTCCATGGGTAGCCTGGTTCTTCATACCTTCATATGTAATGAAGTGGGATATTTCTATTTTTCCTGGGAAAAAGCTCATGGTGAGAAATCCTTCATTCCTGACCTTGAGATAGTATTGAATTTTGTCAATTCAGAAGAAGATAAAATTTTGTACTATTATTTTTGTTTGCTAAATATTAAATTGATTGGGGGGGACTTTTTTGATTCTCATACTTTTAGTCTCAAGTTAAAAATAATTTAAGAAAGTTATTAATTGATTTTATTATAGTCTTTAGCTAATAAGTAATTAAGATTTCTTATTTATCCTTGGGGATTTAATATTTAGTTGTCTTATGTGGATAAAGAGCTATTAGGGAAGTATGATGTGAAGTAAATAAATGCCCACTGTATTAACCTAATTATTTTGTCTTACCTCTGACATTTCCAAGGGAGGCCAAGCACACCACTGAATATTTAAAATGTCATTCTGGAAAGCTCTTAATCTGAACTGACTGAAAACCCAATTTATCTAATTACTTGCTATAGAGATTTCAGCTGTGTCATCACAAAATGATAATGGATGTTCTTGCTTTCTCTTCCTGGAACTCTCTCAAAAGTCCCCTAGAGGACATTTTGCATGTGCATATGAATATGTCTCCTCAAATCCATGTGTTGAAAACTTAATCCCCAATGCAACAGTGTTGGGAGGTGGGGCCTAATAGAAGTGTTTAGGAATGGATTAATGCCTCTGTCGACTTTGGGAAGAAGGTTTGCTCTTTTGCTTTTCTGGTATGTGAAGACACAATGCTTGTCTCGTCTTGCCCTTCCGCCTTCTACCATGTGAGGCAAGAACAAGAAGGCTCTCACCAGCTCAAATGCTGATGCCTTGGTCGTGGGCTTCCAGTCTGTAGAACTGTAAGAAATAAGTTTCTGTGCTTTGTAAGTTACTCAATCTGCTGGTATTCTGTTATAACTTATAGTAGCCCAAACCACACATATTAAGATGATTTGTCAGGTCCTGTCTCAAAGTGAAAAATAAAAAGTGATTCAGTGGTTTAGTGCCTTTCCGTTCAATCCTCAGTACAAAAACAAAACAAAACAAAACAAAAAACCAAAAACAAAACCAAAAAAAAAAAAAACCAGCTCATCAGTGGTTTAAAGTGAAAACCACCTCCTTTTTTTTTTTTTTCCTGCAAAGGTCTTCCAGGCCCAGGTCTCGGGAGCCATTGTCAAGTTGCTGTCTGTTGTCTATCTCATTCTTCTTGATCTCTGCCATAGCCCCACCTCTTCTAGGAGATTAAGAACAAAATGCTATTTTTATGTGTATGGGAGATTTTATATTTATATCTATAGAACATATATGGTTAAAGTACTCAGCAATTGTTGAGAAGGGCAATGTAATATGCAAAGAATTCAGGGACAAAATACCCAGCAGAAATGTTTATTCTGCCTCAACAAAACAACCCTTCTAGTTTAGTCAACATGGAATTAACAGCAAACTAACCTGACTAAACTAGT